ATTTTGAGTATATTTTTAATTTAGTTCATGAACAAATATCTCATTAAAAAAATAATAATTAGACAATTTTGTAATTTTATTAATTTTGAGTATATCTTTAATTTAGTTCGTAAATGCATATTGATAACAAATAATGTGTACAATGATTAAAAATTTTAATACATAAACTATTAAAATAAAAAATATTTTTTATAATAAGAAATTATTTTGATTATTTAGACTAATTCAATGTACAATTATATTTACCAAGTTTAGTTTTCGAAAACACGTAATTTATTTGTGATCAATTGATCATATATAGCAGTGCACTTTATATAACAAAATAATGCACTTTATTGATAATCAAGTTGCACTTTATAAAACAACATATTCCATTTATAACCACACTACACAATCAACGTCAGAACATCTCGCCAAAATATTACACAGTAAATTAAAAAACGGATATACATAATAATTTAACATCACTCGCATGATTTATCCATACAGAAACACAATAATACTAACATACCAAAACAACAGTATTTCAATCTATACATCAACATGTTGTACTTTATAAAGCATCCCTTTGCACTTTATAAAACAACATGTTATACTTTACAAAACACCACTATACACGTTATCAGGACTATCGGATTGCGTAATAGAAATCGTAACCGACGAATTCAAACTTTTTCAACAAAAAAATAATAAAATTATGAACATATTAAATATAATTTTAATCTAAAATAACAAATTATTTCGATATTAGGATAATTCGGTTAACCGAACTGGACAAATCTATAAATTATGTTGATTTTCAATCTGATCTGGACAAAAGTTCGATTGGTCCAAGTTGCACAATACAAACCGATGTTTTGCACCACATTGTTAGATGAAATGCACCTTAATAACTGTTAGGTTGAATATTATATTTCATTTACATACATACAATTTTTTTTATAAAAAAAATAATATTAAATATCCACTAAAAATATTTTAAATACTAATCATATTTTTTATAATAAATACTATAATTTATGCCAGTTATTTTGGTTATTTATATTAACCAACAAATCAATCCTGTTACGTCAAATTTTTAAGTTCTAAAGTTTATATTTCATTTTGACTATTTATTTTTCATTTTTAAAACGCATATCTATTCACAATATTGTGCAATCCATTCATGGAAAAAAATGGTGTATTTATCGATTTTTTTTTATAATTTTATATAACACCATCCTCTCTATATATAATTCCCGAATGTGTTGAGCCTATGTGGCAGGCTCGCATGCTTCGAAATCCTAGGTGTCAAAATTCCGTGCTTTGTTATTTGGCTTGAATAGATTTTAATTTAATTCCAATCCAAAACAAATTAGGTTCGGATTACCATAAATATGTTGATTTATTTATGATCTTTATAGATGTATTAATTTTACTTTAATATCATTTTCTATTATAACTATTGCATTTTAAATGTATTTTAAAACTTGGTAACTTTTGTATTTCTTATCGATTTTACTTATATAATGTTTCAAATTGATTATCTTTTGATGAGATTCGATTTGACATCCATATTGTATATATAAAATAAATAAATTAAATTTATCTTTACGATAATAAAAAAATATTTATTAAAATTAATTAAAAAAATAAAATTATTTCGCAATTGATATATTCATGCTTAATGTAGTTATATGTTATAAGTTCGAAAAATTATTATAATATAATATAAGTCGCACAAGCAACAAGTGTCATACTAAAATATAATATCTTTATATATATATATATATATATATATATATATATATTTTTAAAAATTATATAAAGTATTAAATTTTCAACTACTTTTTCTCATTAATCTTAAATTTTTAAGAAAAAAATTAACAAGCACCCGTGTGATACACGAGCGTTGTACTAGTATGAAATTATTTTTAAAGTGCACCCATATAAACAAGATCATGCATCTAATGTATCATTATTGTGCATAAATTGGTCTTCATTAAATTATAAATTGCCATCTATAATAAAAAAATACGTAAATTTGAAATTTAATAATTTCAAAATAGTCCCCCAAACATATCAAATTTTTCAAAACAAAACCCTAACCAAAAACACCCTCCCCGTCACTCGTCTCAGCCCAAATCGCCGCTGTCAGCCACTGGCCGCATGAGTCGCCGTCAGCCGCCGCATCTCCGCCATCCTCGCCGCCGTTCCACGTACCAAAATAAGCCCCAAATCGCACAAATCATAAAAAGATCCTAGACACACTCGGTGACGATTTGTACTATGTTGAAATAGACTTGTCGCCGGCACATGAACCGAGAGGCCGCCTGAGCCTGCGCCTCTTAGGTTTCCTCGTCGGCGCCTCCTGCGGAGAAGAAAGTGTGGGCGGCGATGCTGCATGTGAAATCGGCAAAAACCCGCTCGAGGCGGTTAGAGAAGGGTGGAGGGGTGTGGTCGCAGGCGCGAGATATTCGAATTGAGACGGGCGGCCGGCAATGAGGAGATCGCAGGAGGATGTGCTTGCCGACATTCTAATCGTCGGATTTTCGCCAGAGACCTACTGCGTCAAGGTGGATGCGTGGAGGAGGCGCGGTGGAGACATGGCGGCGGCATGGCGACAGTGTGTGTAATATGTGTTCGTGTGAATCTGAGTATATGTAATATGATGGTGAATCTGTGTGAATTACTGTTGCTAGCTTTAAGAGTGCGAATAGAGAGTGGGAGAGAGGAACTCAGGAGATAGAATGAGTGGAGAGAGAGAGAGAGAGCGCGAGAGATAGAGAGAGAGAGAGGAAAGAGAATGAGTGGGGATAGAGATGATGAGTGGGGCCTGCGTTGTTAATGCTGGTGAGCTGTCAGACCGATTATTTTACCACATTGCCCTTCTCTTCTACCCACATGTATGACATCAATATTCACCAGTAATTATGATTATGCCACCGGTAATTTAAAATATGATGAATCCATCTCCACTGCTGAAACGCGAAATCATATGGTTCAAATTCATTTTTATTTCTTTCACTATCCGTCTTTCTCATATGATCCTAACTCTATATATATAGAGAGATTGGTTCAAATGTTGCCGCTTTTTTAAAGTGTGGACGTGAGACTCATTTTTAGCCACAAGATTTGGTACATCATGTGTGGCCAAGATTTACTCTTTTCTTTTTATTATTTTAATTATTTAAATTTTATTTTGACCCGTTGACTCCGACGTTGATCGTTGACTTACGGCGTTGATCGTTGACTCCGGTGTTGACCGTTGACAACTAATCTTCCAATTAGGTTAGTTCTCTGTAGTTGCTAGGTTAGTTTTATATAGTTGCTAGGCTAGTTCTCTATAGTTGCTAGGTTAATTGTCTGTAGTTGGTAGGTTAGTTCTCGGTAGTTGCTAGGTTAGTAGTTGCTAGGCTATTCTCTGTAGTTGCTAGGTTAGTTCTCTGTAGTTGCTGGGTTAGTAGTTGCTAGGTTAGTTCTCTGTAGCTGCTAGGTTAGTTCTCTTTAGTTGTTAGGTTAGTAGTTGCTAAGTTAGTTCTATGTAGTTGTTAGGTTAATAGTTGCTAGGTTAGTTCTCTGTAGTTGCTAAGTTAGTAGTTTCTAGGTTAGTTCTATTTAGTTGCTAGGTTAGTAGTAGCTAGGTTAGTTCTCTGTAGTTGCTAGGTTAGTTGTCTGTAGTTGCTAAGAGCTGTCCGCATTTTAAGAGCTGTCCTCATTTGATCCGCCCTATATATATATATATATATATATATATATATATATATATATATAATAAAATTAGTTTTATTAGTCAAATATTTTTCTTAATTCTTTACTCAAGTTATTTAATTATTTTTTGTAACTTGATAAATTTCATGACAAATTAGTGAGTAATTATTAGTAGTAAAATATATGTGTTTATATATATTTCTTTTATTCTTTTTATTCGTTTTTTTTTTAAA